TGTGTGTGTGTGTGTGTGTGTGTGTGTGTGTGTGTGTGTGTGTGTGTTACATTGTAAGTTCAAGGTATTACTCTTAGAAGTTGGCTACGGCTCCACTATTCTTAGTCTTTTACTTCTCTTGGGAGCCATCTAGGTTGTTGTTCTCATCTTGCCAACCTCGGCCCCTTTTAATTTCAGGACCTCTTTGTCCTGGGTGTTCTCTCCTTTATGAAATGAGTTCACATTTATTTGTCATGGGGAGGATCAGTACACCTAATTTATGGGGCGATCCATTCTTCTATGTAACTACAGCTGTGAACTGTGTTGTTTTGTTCTTTTTTTTTTTTTTTTTAAGTCCTTTTACTACAAGATCATTCATGGTCTTAAAAATCAACTAAATGCTATTTGTTAATTTTAAAAAGAGGAATGTGCTATTATTTTAAGCTTCTGCCTTTCTGGCCTCAGCATCTCTTGTGCTAAGAAAGCAATCCTAGTCCAGGCCTGTGTCTTTGCAGGAGAAAAATTAAACTATTTTTGAGAGTCTAGTTGGCTTTTATCTGTATACAAGGGCAAAATCACTACTGTTTTACCATTAATTATTCATATTAGATAACAAAAGCCTAAGGAAATATATTAATATCATCAAGGTAACAAAATGATGACTGCCTGCAAGGATTTCACTCTTTGTACCCCCTCTAAACCTAATCACAAATATAATAGTTTAGATGTGGGACCCTCGGGACCTCAGCAATGGGATTACTTTCATAAAAAATGAATTCATGATTGATCACTATAGTCAAACAAAAAAATATTTCACCTGGAATATATAGGAACCCAGATAATATGGACCTCAAAATATGTTTCTGGCATGAGGATTACTTTGAGCTACTGTTAAAGAGACAGTGGCCCATTATTTCCTATTTTTAGGCTTTGAATCCCTTCTGCAATGTGAAGGTATGGTCTTCCTCTCCTCTATGAAAGGGACCAATGACATGCCTTCTACAGAAAGCTAGGTTCTTCCAGACTTGCAGCCTCCTAGGACCTTCATTTTGGATGCCCAGTCCCCAGAACAATTAGGAACATTTTTTCATGTGCTAGATATGACCAGTCTTGAGTGCCTGCCACTAGATAAGTTTGCTGAGGCAACTGCACTTATTTACCAAGGAAAATGCTTGAAATGGTAAGGAAGGCACCTTTCACACCAGTGACTATAATGACATCATGACCCAGAGCCAGATATTGCAGAAGAGGAATCAAAAATAGCTTTACCTTTTAAGACCTTTGCTATATCATTGAAAATACAGTCAAGGAAAATAGATTTAAGAGAATAAGAAATTAAAGAAAGACAAAGTGTGAGACAGGCATGTGTGCTCTAGTTGCACACTGGAATGCTAACACAGCTTTGTCACATGTTCTTACCACCCTGGCTCCTTAAAGGAGAAATAGCTCCCTTAGTGTTCATATCCCACTCATTGTCCACGTCCCTTATGTGCACTCTCTTATGGCCTGTTTTATTGTACTTACTGTTGCCCATTCTCCCCTCACTGTCTACAACTGTTTGTTGGGTTGTCCCCCTGCCCCAACATATCATGAACCAAGTATGTACAGAGTGAGGTCATCTCTCTGGAGAGTCACTTAACAAACAAAACATGTGAGCTGTCTCGAGCAGAGTCACTGCAGCTACCTGGACCTCCGGATGCTCCTGAATCACATCTGCTGTCCGTGTCCAGAATGACCGCCAGCCCGACGGAGTTTGCCGGTAGGATGTGGCCACTGAGGTCCACCCGCGTCAAGCTCCTAGGCTCCCGTATGGAGCCCCCTGAGACGCTGTGGGGTTTGTCCCCTCCAGATGCATTTGTTTCATCACATTTTGTCTGTGGTCTCTGCACTATGTGAACGATGCTCTGCTGCTCCAGGTCACAACTCTGTGTGGGGGTCAGGCAAAAACACAAGAAGAAAGATAGCATTACATGAAAGGAGAGTTCAAGTTGTCCTTGTTCTAGAGCTTGAAAAAATAGGTTAAAAACTGCTTAGGTTCAATTCCAACTAGCAGCAGTAGCATTGAATGGAAGGCAAGGTGTGTTTGGTTGACTTTGGAATACTTACTCTGGCAGTGGGGAACACAGAACTGCATGTGACAGCCAGGCAGCATGGAACTGAGGCTAGAAGTGGACATTTGAGAGGAAGTGAAACATAGAAACAGAAAACTATGGAAATATCAAAAGATGATGAAACTTAGTAGGAAAACAGGTCCTAATGCATTCATAAGTACCCTACAAGTAATACTCATTTAAGACTGAATCAACTTTCAAGTGCCTTGTCCTTAACTCACTTAATTTAAACACAGGTAACCATTTCTTCTTTATAAAAGCACTGAGTGTTATTACCAGTTACAAGGTATTTCTCTACAGAATCGTAATGACAGTAGTCATGGCAGACTGTACCCTACCCTTCCTGTCCTTGCTGCCACTAGTAAGCATGCTGCATCCCCAGTGGGGAAGCTAGTGTGAAGGCCTTGTTTGCCCTTCTGCCCACCTGTGATTAAGGTCAGTAAACATTTACAATATAGCCTAGGCCCCAAATGACACACACAGTATGTACTCACTTATAAGCGGATATTAGCCATACAGCACAGCATAACGATACTACAATGCACAAACCAAAAGAAGCTAAGTAACAAGCACTACCTGAGGGAGGGTGCTTGAATTTCACTCAGAAGGAACAATAAAATAGGCAGCAGAAGTAGTTGAAAAGACAGAACAAAATAGGAGAGGGAGTAAGGAGGGAAATGTGGGAGAGAAGAGAAAAGGTAGAGAGGAGATATGAGGAGGGGGGTGGTAGAGGGCTTGCAGAGAGAAGAGAAACTAACGGAGGGCTCAGTTCTGAGACAAGTTGGAGACACCTACAACAGGGTAGGCTCCAAGGAGGATCTGGGGTGACTCTAGCTGAGACCCCTAGTAGCAGGGATCATGGAGACTGAAGAGGCCACCTGGTGGAGGATAGGACTAGATAGGACTCCTGGTGGAGGAAGGTGGAACACCAACCACCCACAAAAACTTTGACCCAAATTTTACTCTGCCTGCAAGATGTGCAGGAATAAACATAGAGCAGAGATGGAGGGAATGTCCAACCAAACCCTGGCCCAACCTGAGATCCACCCCAAGGGAGACAGGGACCTCCTGATACTAACAAGGACACTCTTCCCTGCTTGCAGATGGGAGCCTAACATAGCTGTCTTCCAAGAGGCTGCACCCAGCAAAGGAGTGAAACAGATGTTTAGACTCACAGCTAAAGATTGGGTGGGGCACAGGGAGCCTTGTGGGAGAGCTGGGGAAGGATAGAAGGACCTAGAGTGGTCAAGAGCTTTACAAGAAGACCAATAGGGTCAGCTAACCCAGGCCCAGGGGTCCTGTGGAGACAGAAGTGCCAACCAAGGACCATGCATGGACCTGAGCTAGGGCCCCTACAAATATATACTCGACAGGCAACTTGGTCTTCTGTGGGTCCCCTACTAAGAGGAGCAGGGGCTGTTTCTAACATGGACTCTGTGGCATGCTTTTTGATTACCTCCCCCTGGTGGGGCTGCCTTGGCAGGCCACCGTGGAAGAGGATGTACTCAGTCCTGATGTGACTTGAAGTGCTGGCATGGGTTAGTGGGGTCGGCAGCTTTCCTGGGGAATAGCAGAGGAGGGAAGGAGAAAGAGAGATAGAGGGTGTATATGATTTATAGAAAAAAACACCTGTGCTCCTATTTTTTCTTTATGAACAGAAGTCATAAAATCTAGAATAAAACTTAAGAGCAGGATGTTTGCTAAGGCAAGACCTAGAGAATCCTAGGTCAAGTCCTTGTTTAGAATAATTAATAGACAGAAACAGCATTATTCTACCTTTTCTAACAGAGTTAGGGTCTGGCTCCCTTCCTAATGCCAATATCTGTGTTCATTGGCTCTGTCATTATGCGAATGATCAATGTGTATCTGCGTACAATAAAACCACATAAAAGATATAGTTCAGTCTTCCTTCTCCAGTGTCTTCTTCAAGCAATCTATTTACTGTCACTGTCAAAAACCTTTGAGAACTGGGACCTCTGTCACTCACTTCACTGCCAAGCACACTGAAGCTTGGTGTTTGCCTCCTCCAGTCACAGGTCTCTGAATCTCAGCATTCTACCTTCTTGCCCTTTTCCTGTTCTGGCCTCCATAACACTGATAAGCTCGCTCTGCTCTTAGTTTTGCTCTTAGTCTCCCCGCAATGGCTCCTACTCAGAGTCATTTCCCACTACCCTTCTTATCATCCTCTGTCCCCAAGGCCTCCCCTATCGAACCCCCATACTTCTATCAAACATTGCTTGCCAACTTCCACAGCATATCAGGACACTCATTCCAGTGCTGACTGCCATTCTATACTGATCAGGCTTCAGTCACGGCACAGATCTGTCCTCCCTGCCTTGTTATATCCAGCAAGTGTCCAGAGTGATTGATTAGGCACCAGAAATACCCTTCTCGTCTTCATTGTCCTCATACCCCCATTGCTGCTTCCTCATATTAGACTTTCATTATTACAACGATTTGGTAATTATTCCCTACATACCTGGTTTCTGCCTGTTCCAGGTTAATACATAGAAGAATCTTTGGTGTTTGCATCATACTATCATGTGGCTAGTATGTTTATTCCTTTCTCCTTTCTAGATTTTTGCCAAGTGTTTTTTATTTCCTTTACTTGTACAGGGGGACCATCCACAGACATTTCATGGCTATGGATACATAGGTGCCCACAATGCTCCTTCCTCCTCACCTACATTTTATGTTCAGCCACGTGAATAGCCCTGAACTACTGATTTCATTAGATATGATGGAACTAGGGATTGAAGATGGTTCAGCCTGGCTACTTAGGTTCTACAACAGTATTTCTAGAAGCTTTCACTCGAGCTCAGGAGCCCGAACTACACGTCATGTAGCCCGATCCCAGCCACAGAAGGGGCAAGTGCTGTCCCAAGTGCAACTGAAGATACCTTCAGGTGAAGCTAGCCAGACCCCTGGTGATGTGAGAACACAGAATTGTGGCAACTGGTCCTATGATTCTGTGTTTGCTTTTCAGAAATAAAAGCAGATGGCAACCCATTGTCCATTCCTACTGGAGCAGAAGACATACCATCACCCTTCACCTTGGAATCTGCTCTCATGCAGAATTTAGGAGCCACACAACCTATAGCCAGTGTCCCGATAAACCAACCACTAAGACCTGAGCACAATGAAGCACAGATATGTGAGAATGGAGTCTTGCAAAGAGACAGAGCAGAGTGGGAGGAGCCTCAGCACAGCCATGTCCCACACAGCCTTTCTCTCCAGGAGACACAAGGATTCACTCAGGCTTGTTCTTTTCTCCATGCTCAGAAATGAAGTTTGAGAAAACGGTGGCACCTTTCTTGTCTGAGTCCCCAAACTCTTTGTCTGCCAAGGTCTACTGATCAAAGTGTTGACAGCTTTGATTGTCAGTGTGTCTGTGTGTGTGCTGCAATGAGTACGTGGTGTGTATATATGTGTGCATGTGTGTGTACTGTATTATATGCATGGTATGTCTATGTGTGTGTATCTATGTGTGTTTATGTGAGCGTGTATTGTGTTATGTGTACATGTTTGTGACTATGTCTGTGTGTGTGCAATATAGTGTGTTTATGTGTGATGTGGTATGTGGTATGTGTATCATATTGTGTGTATATGTTGTATGTGTATTGTGTTAAGGTGTGTGTATTGTGTTCTGTGTGGGATGTGTATGTGTGTGCATGTCTACATCTCTGTATGTGTGATGTGATTTGTGTATGTGTGTGATATGAAATGTAGTCAGTGTGTGGTGTTATGTGTGTTAATATGTTGTGTAGTTGAGTATTGTGTTGGTAGATGTGTGTGGTATTGTGTGCATGATATGTTGTGTATGTATTGTGTTGGTGTGTGTGTGTGTGTGTGATTCAATCCGAAGGTAATTTAGAAATGTTTATAGTGGTAAATGGTCATAATTACATACGTATTATCTAAAGTCTCACACAGCATTTTGAGCTTCAGGATGTGGGTTTGACTGAAGAAAAGAATATTGGACAGATGAGTAAATGGATGAATAGATAAACAGTCCTGAGCCCTGTTCCTATAGTACTTCATGGAAAGCTGGCAGATGTGGAAGGAGAACAGCTCGGAAAAATCCTGGGGAAGAAATACGATAGACTTGCTTCCCATATACTTATTAGGTTCTGTTTGATGGGGCAGCTTTCTCCTGTGCTTTAGTTCTCATGTTGATAATAATGTTATCAGCATCAAAGACTGTTCTAAAGACTTGGAGAAATATAAAGAACCCAATACCCATCATCCATCAGTCTTGAAGACAGAAGGCTGTAGCCCCTGCCTAGTATATGAATGTGGCCTCAGAATTATATTTAGTTGTTCCACTTTTGTGATCTTGACAGAAAACATACAAAGAAGGCAGAGGATGCAGAAGGTATAAATGTGAAAATTCTGGCCAAATATGAGCTTTCTCTGAGCTAAAAATTATTTTTAAAAAATTCCTCTCTGTGCAAGATTCCCTGGGATGGAAGAGGAACCTGGGCATATTTTCTGGGGCAAGTCAGAGAGATAAGTGACCCTTTTCTCTCCTGTCCAGACTTCCCTGACATCCAGAAGGGTCTGCACAGGGATTTCAGTAGTTACAGTGGTATTTACAGAACATATTTCCATGTCTCTATCCATGGTTCTGAGAGCTGTAATTGCTTAATTCCTTAACTTTCTCACAGAAAACACTGTTGATCTAGAGGTCCCTTTGACAGATGGCGTGCTTGCATGTCATGCCAGCACAGCCCAGAGCCATGCTAATAGCCAATTCCATGGACAATAAGCTGAATAAAGTTCAGCTGTGTGGACATTCCAAAGCTCCAGTAATA